CAACAAAAATCTGATTTGAAATCAGACTGCCAACTTGAGAAAGTTGATCAAATAACTTCATTGTCAGAAGAGAACTCACTAAAGCAAGAGCATTAGATAATATGTTGGAGTGGAGTGGAGTGAAGTGAAGGAATTTTGTCAGATCAGTTTGGTAATAAGGAAGCTCATTGAGTGCAATTTTGGGTCTTACTGTTATTTCGAAAAAAAGATCTGTAGAATTTTGTTTTGGATTTTTTTTTTCAAAAGCCAGAAAGAGAGAGCAAATATATTCATCAATGCCATCTAAAATGATTATAACTGAACACTGAAGTCCTAAATGAACATTCTGTTCCCCACATGTCCGATTGTTGCACAATGATGTCTGGCATCTAATTTAATTTCTCAGCTTATTGGATGATGACGCGTGAAAACTAATAACTCCAGCCTTCGTTTCTCTGCTGACAATGAAAATTAGACAAATGTATTATAGAATCAGACAGATGCTAGGTGATTTCACAGAGTGTGAAACGTTTGTTGAAGAGCAATTTCTGTTCAGGAATGTCCAGACCTTGGTTTTTGATCCCTGGTAATTTCCCCTAACACCCACCACAAATTGTGACTTTGTTGGTAATCCTTTAACAACTTTCTCTTGAGTCCTTCACATGTGGGTATGCAGAAAATGAAAACATTCCAACGTTTTCAATCAAACTATTCTTCTTGGAGGCAGTTTTTTTCCTCTGCTGTCATTTCTTAAAGCACTAGAAGAAGGTTAGGTTTATGGATGGCTTGCCCATTTGTATATGCCATCACGTAGAATTGCATCATCAAATGCATTTTGTATTTCATTTCATGGGAGTGAATTAATGGTGAAATAATTGTTGCAGAAAATTGTTTACATGTACACATGATATTAACATTTTATCTGGCATATAAGCATTTTACAACAAAAGAAACTTGTTTCATATTGAGACAATTGTATTTTAACACATTTGATACAAGAAGCTCATCTTTATATTATTCAATATTCTAACATCTTAATGAACATTAGATTAATATGATGTCTGTTTTTTTTTTGTCCTTGCAGGCCAGGTTGTCAGCAGGTCTCGGAATGCATCAAATTTTTATCCCCGAATAGTGACCCCGGATGACGTAATCACCATGGCAACAGATCCCCAGCAGCACCAGCAGGAGATGGCCGCCATGCAGAATCGTATCCCTGTCACATTCCGCGACCCCACGTGTGCGCCTTTACGAAAGCTCAGCGTGGATTTGATCAAGACATATAAGCACATAAATGAGGTAAGACCGTTTACTGTATGTATGAAAATGTAAAAATTTGATAAATTTCTGTGATTGCATTTGAAATGAAGTGTGTGTATGCGTGCGTGCATGCGCATGTGTGTATGTGTGACGTATCAAATCATAGTCCAAAAGGGTTGAGCATTGTGAGACATATTTGAGACAAGCTTCCACTGTATTTGTACATGTGAATTATATTTGATTCTCTCTCTCTCTGTTTTTATTTGTCTTTGTGTCAAGTTCTTCATTGGACAATTGTTCTGGCTGTGGTGCTATTTCTACCCTTCAATCAGACCAGTGCCCAGATGGTCAGTTGATGTCCGGTCTCTAACCTCTATCACCCAGAGACTGGTCAGCCTGTGGTCAAGGGACTCATAATATACTTAACAGCAAGACTCAGCAGACAGTGTTAATGGGCAAAGATGGTGTCTGAACAGAAAGACACTGGCAGTTATCCAAGGTTCTTACCCATTCACTTCTTTCTAAAGCAATTAATTATTTCTCCAGAAACAGTTATGTGGGCAAAATATGATAAACATTTGAAAATGTTTTTTTTTTTTTTTTTACTTTTGTGATGAAGTTTTCATAATAATGGAGTTATTATTGTACCATATCTTCTGTTTGAACAATTTGACTCAGCAGTTTGATTTGGTTGCAAGTCATCAGCTGTTAAGACAAATCTTCTTCAAAAATGAATTGCCCAAAACAAATCTGCTACAAATCATTTCACTGGAAACACCTAGGAAACTAAACCACTGACAGTGCAATTACCACCCCCTGAAACCTTAATTCTATCACTGAACTCTGGTTGAACTGCTGGTAATTAGTGGGTAAATAAGGTCACTGATATATTATCTGACTATTATATATATAACAGAATGTACATGAAGGATCTCCCAGAAAATGCCAAATAGACAAGATTGCTGTGAACTCAATTGTCACCTATCTCCTTACCTTAATTGTCATTGCAGTACATTGTTTGCTAAAGGACAAAATAGTCCAAGGCTTTGATATTTTTTGTCGGAAAGAAGCCCCTAAGACATGATAATGGTAATGGAAAACAAATTATAGTTGAAAAAGATGCTGCACAATTTCTTGGTAAATAACTTGATGCTTCGGCCCTGGCCACGACTGTCGAGAAGCGGAAAATGTTTTCCAGGATAATTTTTTAGAAAAGAGGCAAAACCTAGATAATTCAAGACATTGTAAACTGAACAATTAGACACAGTGAAGTCTTCTGTGTAAACTTACAACTTTTTGGTTTATGTAAATAGGGGGTGGGGGGGTGGAAACATGTTTTTATGTAAGGCAAAGTTGACATCTGAATTAACTGCCTCAGTGTAAAGAAAAGATCTCTTGTACTGCATTATACATTTCCCAGAGCAGTTCGATTTGAGATCTGGTCATTTTTTGGCCCTGATACAGAATCAGATAATAGTGTCGACGCTATTGCTTTCACCTCCATGGGGAGGATAAAAGCCCAGCTGCTGTTTGAGGCTCTGAAATCTAGCAAATGAACAATATCTTTCTCTCCCAGACCAGGAACTATATTATACTTCAGTGCATATGTTTGGGGGAAGGGTGACACTCTTCTACAGTGTTTTAAAAGCACCTTTTAAAGTAAAGGCAGGTGATGGTTATAGAGGAGAGGAAGGGTGCTAAAGACCACAGTGACAATTTTAACGGCATTCCTCTTTTTTGTCTGTATAAATTTCAGCTGTCTGTGGAAAGATTGCCACTAGCTGTCTGACTTGTAAGCTTTCATGCCCCTATTCTTGCTATAAATAGGTGTAATTGAGGATAATAAAAGTCATGCTGTTGAAGAAGAGGTACTGTGTAGATATTTCTAAATCATTTGACAACTTTTTTCCTCTGTGATTAGCTTTGAAAAAAATACAAGACAAAGAAAGAAAGGAAGAAATGCTCCATCTGCATCATTTACCTTTCAAAACCATATATGTCCATGGAAATGAAAAAAGCTGAATTGTTGTGAAGTAGTGAAGCTGCAGAACAGAACGTCCGCAGCTGTTTCTCTCCAGGGGCTGTGGCTGCAGCCAGGTCCCTGGTAGCAGCAGCACAACCATGATGACTCAAAGAAATGATCACTTGGAAAAGAAAAGAAATCTTCAGCACAGCTGAGCCTTTTGTACTTAGTTAACCCCTGATTGAGAAAAAAAAAAATTGAAAAGGTAAAGAAAACCTTGACATCAAGGGTGCTCAGTTGTAGAGGTCTCGGTATATTGCAGGTTTAATTTGAGTGGGAAAAACCATCACCTGTGTCTCAAATAGTCGTTTTTGTTATGTCATGCAAACTTGATTAAGTTAGAAAAAAAAATTCAAGAAAATTGATAAATTTCCAAATCATCATGAAATTAATTTTAGATGACAGCAATTTTGAATTTTATGCATTGAAAACTTGAAAAATCAGAAATCAAACCTTTCCAGTAAAATACTCGACATCATAGACATCAGGGGTTTTCATCCACCATTGACCAATATGTGTTTATATGAAACTGGCCCCTGAAATGTGACTTAATACATCTATAGCAGACATTAATTTTGATGATGCTGAGGTAAGGTAATCGGAGGGTGCAAGTTTAACAAAAACTAGGTAAAAAAAATGACCGTCTGAAGAATCCTACTTAAATCTATTCTGGGTCGTGCAATTATTTGTATGTAAATGAGCTATATTTGGCAGAAACAGAATTGCTTTTTTTGTCTGAGTCATTGGGTATTAACCACTTCCACTAGGAGTCTGAATTCCAATTTACCACAAATATTTCAATCAGGTTTGCAAGAGTTGAGGTTCATATCTCAGTCATCTCCACAGGCTTGTTACGGCATGGTCCTTCTTTGTTTACCTTTTTTCTGAGCTCTTTGTTAAGACAAGTCTTTTTTGCCAAACTTTTTTAAAGCACTTCACTAAATTAAAATATCTTTATGTAAGGTTTCAGTGTCATCCGTATGTTGACTTAAAAAAAAAAACTCAAATGATGGCGTGTTTAGTAATGTGGTAAAATAAAACAAGAAAACTGTGATTGTGTTAACAAGAAGGGCAGTGTTGATTACTAGTAATATATTTCACTCATTTGCAGGATTCTTTGAGGATAAATAGTTTTAAACCTTTTTAGCTTCTATATTTCCTGCCAGATCTGTATCACATGATAACTCATTAGATAACATGGTATCTGATCTTTTTACCAGTGATGGTATTATCCTCTTTACTGACTAAAAAAAACAAAAAAAAAAAAAAAACAATTTGATCAGATGTGACTGGAAAACCAGAATTGATTATTGCAAAATTAATTTGTTTGTCTCCATGCTTCCTCGTGATTTTGTGGTTCATAAAAATTGGTTTCCAGAACAATGTATTCATTTATCAAGCTGTCAGATAAGTTCTGGGTGATATGTAGATTGTTGTCTTCTATTCTTTTTCTGTTCACACATGCATGCGCATGAACACACGTGTGCACACGCACACAAACAGTCCATCTTAGTGCCATCCTCAAATATCCCCTTACACACACACACACACACACACACACACATATTTCTAATTACAAAACATCTTCCTATCTAGTCATTCAGGGTCCAAGCAATAATAATAGCTGATTGCCTATTGATTTGTGTCTGTGCTTGACCTGGTCATCTACCATAGTTGCGGTCATCGAAGGGTCACTCATGGTCAGTAGTGACAAATTGACAGGTTCAACAGGTGAATGGGATGATCTTTTAATACAAGCATGTAAGGTTGGAGGGGAAAAAAGTATTATTGTGTAACTTGTCATGTAAATGATGTATCTAAGAGCCATATTTGTGCAAGAATCCCAGAAAATGATCTCTACAATGTTGAATTCAAGAATGAATTGTGCATAAGTTCAAAAGAAATTCTAAATTCAGCTAATTACTGATGTGACTATTCAAACAAAATTCTATAACATGATACCTGGCAAGGATTGGTCAAAACAGATATTAAAATTATTTTAAACAAGGCATGACCCCTACTAAACTGAGCAAGGTTTGATTTTAGATTTTAAAGCAGTTTGTCTTTAGAAAAGCAATTTTAAAGCAGTTTGTCTTTTTTATCACATAAAGGAATGACCTGACCAGTTCAATAATATATTGAAAATTATTAATTGATTTTGTTACTTAAACAATTAGCTATCTAGGTCTCTTTTTATGTCTTTTGCGAAGTTACAATTATGCCCAAGGCTCATTACTGGACAAGACGTCTTTTCAAAGTCTTTTCAAATTATGTTTAACAGTGGCTCTCAATTCCCAAATAATACAATGATTCTTACTAAGAACTAGAAAAAAAGTATTGTCATTGTGCCCAAAGTCACATGGAGTCACATATGAGACCATGTGCTTGACTGACCAAAGACAACTATGTCAGCTATGTGACATTGTTTTCTTCTGTCTGCTGGTCCACATTCCTCATACAGGCTATTAAAATAACTGTCTCACGGGACTTAAGTTTTAAACTATTAATATTGATCTGTCATGCATACTCGGACTATATATTTGTTGGACTTTTTTAATGAGAATTTTGTAGTATAGGTATTTTATTTTAAAAATCCCATCTTTGAGAGCTCTCAAATGGTGGCTGAAGTCCTGTAGAGAATGGGATACCATTGTTGAGTGCAAATTTATTAATGAAAAGATACTGCCCCCCCAACAGCTTTGTAAAGATTGCTTCATATTTACAGCACGAATGTTTTGTTGAAAATGAGGGATGCTCAATAAAGTGTGGGTGTTGTTTCTGTGGTTTGACGCAGAAGGCAGACAGATTGCTGTGGCCAGTTTTTAACATCTTCCTCGAAGCTGGAGACAGCCCATCAGGGCTTCCAGAATTATAAATACATGATCAATGAGCCCCTGTGTAGTGACAATGAATGTATGCAAAGCTAATAACAGTATGTCTTAAGCACGCTATGGCTTTCCTACAAACGGAATTTCTATCTCTCATGGGCCGCCCTGATAATATCATCCTCCCTGAT